ATTCATTAAAAATCTTACAATGTGATTTTCTGGAGAAAAACATTCTCAATTTGTCTGTCATAGTTGACGTGTGCCTATGATGAAAATTACAGGCCTCTCTCATCTTTTTAAGTGGGAGAACTTGCACAATTGGTGGCTGACTAAATACTTTTTTCCCCACTGTATTAAGGAAAGCATTCTGGGATTATTTCTGAGGCAAGTATTGATCCAACGTTAAAATAAAATGATTATATTATTAGTTTGAGTCAAAATAGTTTACCTTCTAAGATAACATTTGATTAATAACCCCCCTAAACTAAATATGATCTGATTTGAATAATAGCTGACCTTGCATGGTGGTGAGGAGGAAGATGGCTCCACCCTTAAGGAAGCCTTTGTCCTTGATGTCCTTCAAAGAAATAAACTTTTCGTAGCCATCTCCCTTGGTCGAGTAGATTGACTCAGTGCCCTCTTGTTTGTAAAATGTTCCAGTTTTGCGAGGGTTGTCCCAATACTTTTCACCATTTTCTGTAAAACCATGTAAACACACTCATGGCAGTAACTAGGGGAGAGTAGGGACAAAAGTAACAGGTGAAAGTAACATGCACATTTTCTCAGATAACACAGAAGCTAGAATGATTCAGTGAAGTCAGCACATTCTTAATGTGGAGGACGACCTCTCTAGAAAAAAACTGCCCAGTCCAACCATGTTTAACTTTTTTATTTTATTTATTTATTTATTTCACCTTTATTTAACCAGGTAAGCCAGTTGAGAACAAGTTCTCATTTACAACTGCGACCTGGCCAAGATAAAGCAAAGCAGTGCGATAAAAACAACAGAGTTACATATGGGGTAAAAACAGAAAATATACAGTGTGTGCAAATGTAGCAAGTTATGGAGGTAAGGCAATAAATAGGCTATAGTGCAAAATAATTACAATTTGTATTAACACTGGAATGCTAGATGTGCAAGAGATTATGTGCAAATAGAGATACTGGGGTGCAAAAGAGCAAAATAAATAACAATATAGGGATGAGGTAGTTGGGTGGGCTAATTTCAGATGGGCTGTGTACAGGTGCAGTGATCGGTAAGGTGCTCTGACAACTGATGCTTAAAGTTAGTGAGGGAGATAAGAGTCTCCAGCTTCAGAGATTTTTGCAATTCGTTCCAGTCATTGGCAGCAGAGAACTGGAAGGAATGGCGGCCAAAGGAGGTGTTGGCTTTGGGAATGACCAGTGAGATATACCTGCTGGAGCGCAGACTACGGGTGGGTGCTGCTATGGTGACCAATGAGCTAAGATAAGGCGGGGATTTGCCTAGCAGCGATTTATAGATGGCCTGGAGCCAGTGGGTTTGACGACAAACATGTAGTGAGGACCAGCCAACAAGAGCGTACAGGTCACAGTGGTGGGTAGTGTATGGGGCTTTGGAGACAAAACGGATGGCACTGTGATAGACTACATCCAATTTGCTGAGTAGAGTGTTGGAGGCCATTTTGTAAATGACATCGCCGAAGTCAAGGATCGGTAGGATAGTCAGTTTTACGAGGGCATGTTTGGCAGCATGAGTGAAGGAGGCTTTGTTGCGAAATAGGAAGCCGATTCTAGATTTAACTTTGGATTGGAGATTCTTAATGTGAGTCTGGAAGGAGAGTTTACAGTCTAACCAGACACCTAGGTATTTGTAGTTGTCCACATACTCTAAGTCAGACCCGTCGAGAGTGGTGATTCTAGTCGGGTGGGCGGGTGCCAGCAGCGTTCGATTGAAGAGCATGCATTTAGTTTTACTAGTGTTTAAGAGCAGTTGGAGGCTACTAAAGGAGTGTTGTATGGCATTGAAGCTCGTTTGGAGGTTTGTTAACACAGTGTCCAATGAAGGGCCAGATGTATACAAAATGGTGTCGTCTGCGTAGAGGTGGATCTGAGAGTCACCAGCAGCAAGAGCGACATCATTGATGTACACGGAGAAAAGAGTCGGCCCAAGAATTGAACCCTGTGGCACCCCCATAGAGACTGCCATAGGTCCAGACAACAGGCCCTCCGATTTGACACATTGAACACTATCTGAGAAGTAGTTGGTGAACCAGGCGAGGCAGTCATTTGAGAAACCAAGGCTATTTAGTCTGCCAATAAGAATGCGGTGGTTGACAGAGTCGAAAGCCTTGGCCAGGTCGATGAAGACGGCTGCACAGTACTGTCTATTATCGATCGCGGTTATAATATCGTTTAGGACCTTGAGCGTGGCTGAAGTGCACCCATGACCAGCTCGGAAACCGGATTGCATAGCGGAGAAGGTACGGTGGGATTCGAAATGGTCGGTGATCTGTTTGTTAACTTGGCTTTCAAATACTTTCGAAAGGCAGGGCAGGATGGATATAGGTCTGTAACAGTTTGGATCTAGAGTGTCACCCCCTTTGAAGAGGGGGATGACCGCGGCAGCTTTCCAATCTCTGGGGATCTCAGACGTTACGAAAGAGAGGTTGAACAGGCTAGTAATAGGGGTTGCGACAATTTCGGCGGCTAGTTTTAGAAAGAAAGGGTCCAGATTGTCTAGCCCAGCTGATTTGTAGGGGTCCAGATTTTGCAGCTCTTTCAGAACATCAGCTGTCTGAATTTGTGTGAAGGAGAAGCAGGGGGGGCATGGGCAAGTTGCAGCGGAAGGTGCAGAGTTGGTGGCCGGGGTAGTGGTAGCCAGGTGGAAAGCATGGCCAGCCGTAGCAAAATGCTTGTTGAAATTCTCGATTATTGTAGATTTATCGGTGGTGATAGTGTTTCCTAGCCTCAGTGCAGTGGGCAGCTGGGAGGAAGTGCTCTTATTCTCCATGGACTTTACAGTGTCCCAAAACTTTTTGGAGTTAGTGCTACAGGATGCAAATTTCTGTTTGAAAAAGTTAGCCTTTGCTTTCCTGACTGCTTGTGTATATTGGTTCCTAACTTCCCTGAAAAGTTGCATATCGCGGGGGCTATTTGATGCTAATGCAGTACGCCACAGGATGTTTTTGTGCTGGTCAAGGGCAGTCAAGTCTGAGGAGAACCAGGGGCTATATCTGTTCTTAGTTCTGTATTTTTTGAATGGGGCATGTTTATTTAAGATTGAGAGGAAATTACTTTTAAAAGAACCAGGCATCCTCTACTGACAGAATGAGATCTATATCCATCCAGGATACCTGGGCCAGGTCAATTAGGAAGGCCTGCTCGCTAAAGTGTTTTAGGGAGCGTTTGACAGTGATGAGGGGTGGTCGTTTGACCGCGGACCCGTTACGGACGCAGGCAATAAGGCAGTGATCGCTGAGATCCTGGTTGAAGACAGCAGAGGTGTATTTAGAGGATGATATCTATGAGGGTACCCATGTTTACGGATTTAGGGTTGTACCTGGTAGGTTCGTTGATAATTTTTTTGTTTTACTCACTGAAGTGTTTTTCGGTTGTGGAGTTAAGTTTATTTGTTTAAGGTTCCAAACATGTAATTTTACATGTTTAGTCATTTAGCAGATGCTTGTATCCAGTGACTTACAGTAGTGAGTATACATATTCATACTTTTTCCATACTGGTCCCCCGTGGTATTCAAACCCACAACCCTGGCATTGCAAGCACCATGCTCTACCAACTGAGGTAGTGTATACACTTGACACTTACATGCGACGTAGGCTATCAGAATATGAAGATTGCATTGAAAAGACGGTCTAGATGCACAAAAGTCGCTTTGTGGTCTGATTGTGTTCAGATCGGGCTGAACACTTCAGGTGGGCGACGTCATCAGCACTACTCCCACAAGTCTCCAGAAAACATTTTTTTTGGGAACAAGAGGCACCTTTTTATTATAACGTTGAAGGAAATACGTTCCTAGCATGTGAGGAACATGTTTGCTGGACTCAAATGCTAGCCAGCTAGCTAATATTTAGACAAACTATTTTTTGTTTGACTAATGTTATGCTAACCCATTTGCAATCCCTTTAGCATTGCTTGCTAGCTTGCAGGCTAGTTACAGAGGTTAGCTGGCTAGTTAGCTTTAGTAGTTAGCTACTGCCATCAAATCAAATCGTTATCTGTCACATGGGCCGAATACAACAAGTGTAGACCTTACAGTGTAATGCTTACACGCCCTTAACACAAATATAATAAAACTGCATTGTTGGTTATCTTATTTTGCCTATTCCACCGTTTGTAGAATGCATTCTGGCATTTGAATATAGCACAGGAAGAGGGAATCCGGACACACTGGACACTGTAGACATTTAAATGTAGGTGTAGACGCATGACGCAATTCCATGATCAGAACTCTATGATCAGAATACTAAAGCTGCATGAAGTGTCAAATCAAGACACAGCCACACTGGACTAGTTTCTTAACCCATCTAGTGACTAAATGACAGCAGGTTTCAAGTATCATGCTAGCTAGTCTTGGGTGTTAGCCTGGGAGAAGTTACAGGAGAGACGGGTGGGACAAAAGTAACAATGTAAACTGATGACCTGGAATAAAATAAAAAAGTTGAAGCACTGTCTAGTTCATATTGCTTTTATAATGTTAGCAAAATATCAACAAGTGACTGAATGTTTGAAAATTATTACATTAGAATGATGCTTAATTGACTTAATGGATCAGCTTCTCACAAGGTTTTATCAACAGGTTAGTGGTTAAAAATATATATTTGGATTCTGGGGGACCTTATGTCAAGCATGATGAGTTTGCCATTTGTGAAGAGAATTAAGACGTTTATTATATCAAGACACGGAGTGTGCATGGCAAGGACAGCTGATTGGTAGAGCTAAGCATGATAGTAATTGAAAATGGTGAAAAACATCTACATTCCAATTAAAGTGAGATGAGAAGCTGGTTAATACTGTATAGCTATGTGATCATTTGAGTCGGATTAATATTGTAAGGCAAAACATTTTGTTATGTCCTGTAAGACACATTTACTGTAATACATGTAACAAGTTAATACTTTATAAATAAGCTTATTCATGATGATAATGATCATGATAAAATGTTAATTTGACACTGCAAAAAAAAACTATGTTATGGTGTAAAGCTGATTGACTCACCAGGGTCAATCCGTTTAGGGTCAGTGGAGATGCTGTTCTGCTTGGACATGCGTAGCTGGATGTTTGGGTTCTGGTCCATCAGCAGAAACGTTATCTGTCTCCATGGGCAGGGCCACTGGAGCGTGTCATCATATTTACCAGACAAGAGGCGGGCATAGACTCCAATATAAGACCTAGACAATTTAGTAATTATCTGGAAGGCATAGCCATCTGGAGAGTATTGCCTTGAGCTGTACAGATAGGTGTTGTAGTCGCTGGTAGTCAAAAGATTCTCAAAGTCCCGTATCTGCCAGGTCAAATTGGGGCAGTCTGTCTCTGACAGGTTGATGTCATCGATGGAAAACCCACCTGTAGACAGTCCTGCTCCTTTATGCACCTGAAACTCCACCTGGAAGGTTTTGGTGGCATTCAGAGGCACGTGGTGGAGCTGCCAGTAAGACACTGGAGAAGCTAGATGGAGAAATGGGGAGTTTCTGTTAAAGGCCGATACCTTAGATATATAATAGCTGTGGGACACGTGTATGGAACTCAGTCGTTACAAACTGCATATTGCAGAAGTTTAGTGTAAGAGAGATTAAAGGCAGAGTACAGTCAAAGATTTATGTAGAGATTACACACACACCAACCATTCAAATGTTTGGGGTCACTTACAAATGTCTTTGTTTTCGAAAGAAAAGCAATGTTTTTGTCCATTAAAATAACATCAAATTGATCAGAAATACAGTGTAGACATTGTTAATGTTGTAAATGGCTATTATAGCTGGAAACGGCAGATTTTTAATGGAATATCTACATAGGCGTACAGAGGCCCATTTTCAGCAACCATCAGTCCTGTGTTCCAATGGCACGTTGTGTTTGCTAATCCAAGTTTATCATTTAAAAAAGGCTAATTGATCATTAGAAAACCCTTTTGCAATTCTGTTAGCACAGCTGAAAACTGTTGTGCTAATTAAAGAAGTAATAAAACTTGTCTTTTTGAGACTAGTTGAGTATCTGGAGCATCAGCAATTGTGGGTTCGATTACAGGCTCAAAATGGCTAGAAACAAATAACTTTCTTCTGAAACTCGTCAGTCTATTCTTGTTCTGAGAAATGAAGGCTATTCTATGCGGGAAATTGCCAAGAAACTGAAGATCTCGTACAACGCTGTGTACTACTCCCCTCACAGAACAGTGCAAACTGTCTCTAACCAGAATAGAAAGAGTGGGACGCCCTGGTGCACAACTGAGCAAGAGAACAAATGCATTAGTGTCTAGTTTGAGAAACCGGCGCCTCACAGGTTCTCAACTGGCAGCTTCATTAAATAGTACCCGCAAAACACCAGTCTCAACATCAACAGTGAAGAGGCGACTCCGGGATGCTGACCTTCTAGGCAGAGTTGCAAAGAAAAAGCCATCTCTCAGACTGCCAATCTTTTCTTTTTATTGGCCAGTCTGAGATATGGCTTTTTCTTTGCATCTCTGCGTAGAAGGTCAGCATCCCGGAGTCGCCTCTTCACTGTTGACGTTCAGACTGGTGTTTTGCGGGTACTATTTAATGAAGCTGCCAGTTGAGGACCTGTGAGGCGTCTGTTTCTCAAACTAGACACTAATGCATTTGTCCTCTTGCTCAGTTGTGCACCAGGGCATCCCACTCCTCTTTCTATTCTGGTTACAGCGTTGTACAAGATCTTCAGTTTCTTGGCAATTTCTCACATAGAATAGCCATAATTTCTCAGAACAAGAATAGACTGATGAGTTTCAGAAGAAGGTTATCTGGTCATGTTGAGCCTGTAATCGAACCCACAATTGCTGATGCTCCAGATACTCAACTAGTCTCAAGAAGGCCAGTTTTATTGCTTCTTTAAATCAGCACAACAGTTTTCAGCTGTGCTAACAGAATTGCAAAAGGGTTTTCTAATAATGAATTAGCCTTTTAAAATGATAAACTTGGATTAGCAAACACATCATGCCATTGGAACACAGGACTGATGGTCGCTGATAATGGGCCTCTGTACGCCTATGTAGATATTCCATTTTTTTTTTAATCAGCCGTTTCCAGCTACAATAGCCATTTACAACATTAACAATGTCTACACTGCATTTCTGATCAATTTGATGTTATTTTAAATGGACAAAAAAATACATTTTCTTTCGAAAACAAGGACATTTCTAAGTGACCCCAAGCTTTTGAACAGTAGTGTACACACACACACACAGTTGAAGTCGGAAGTTTACATCCACCTTAGCCAAATACATTTAAACTCAGTTTCACAATTCCTGACATTTAATCCTAGTAAAAAAATCCCTGTCTTAGGTCAGTTATGATTACCACTTTATTTTAAGAATGTGAAATGTCAGAATAATAGTAGAGAGAATGATTTATTTCAGCTTTTAGTTCTTTCATCACATTCCCAGTGGGTCAGAAGTTTACATACACTCAATTAGTATTTGGTAGCATTGCCTTTAAATTGTTTAACGTGGGTCAAACGTTTCGGGTAGCCTTCCACAAGCTTCCCACAATAAGTTGGGTGAATGTTGGCCCATTCCTCCTGACAGAGCTGGTGTAACTGAGTCAGGTTTGTAGGCCTCCTTGCTCGCACACGCTTTTTCAGTTCTGCCCACACATTTTCTATAGGATTGAAGTCAGGGCTTTGTGATGGCCACTCCAATACCTTGACTTTGTTGTCCTTAAGCCATTTTGCCACAACTTTGGAAGTATGCTTGGGGTCATTGTCCATTTGGAATATCCATTTGCGACCAAGCTTTAACTTCCTGACTGATGTCTTGAGATGTTGCTTCAATATATCCACATCATTTTCCTTCCTCATGATGCCATCTATTTTGTGAAGTGCACCAGTCCCTCCTGCAGCAAAGCACCCCCACAGCATGATGCTGCCACCCCCGTGCTTCACGGTTGGGATGGTGTTCTTCGGCTTGCAAGCGTCCCCCTTTTTCCTCCAAACATAACGATGGTCATTATGGCCAAACAGTTCTATTTTTGTTTCATCAGACCAGAGGACATTTCTCCAAACAGTACAATATTTGTCCCCATGTGCAGTTGCAAACCGTAGTCTGGCTTTTTTATGGCGGTTTTGGAGCAGTGGCTTCTTCCTTGCTGAGCGGCCTTTCAGGTTATGTCGATATAGGACTTGTTTTACTGTGGATATAGATACTTTTGTACCTGTTTCCTCCAGCATCTTCACAAGGTCCTTTGCTGTTGTTCTGGGATTGATTTGCACTTTTCGCACCAAAGTACGTTCATCTCTAGGGGACAGACCGCGTCTCCCTCCTGAGCGGTATGACAGCTGTGTGGTCCCATGGTGTTTATACTTGCGTACTATTGTTTGCACAGATGAACGTGGTACCTTCAGGCGTTTGGAAATTGCTCCCAAGGATGAACCAGACTTGTGGAGGTCTACAAATTTTTTTTCTGAGGTCTTGGTTGATTTCTTTTCATTTTCCGATGTGAAGCAAAGAGGCACTCAGTTTGAAGGTAGGCCTTGAAATACATCCACAGGTACACCTCCAAATGACTCAAATGATGTCAATTACACATGCACACGCTATGAGGTTGGAATAATACTGTGAAAGTTATAATGCCCTTTTAGTGATATCCATCTATAACTATCTAGATATCACTGCAAGCAATAAAATGTGACCACAGTTAGTGCAGCGTTAACCTCAAGATCTTGGGTTAAGGTAGGATGCAATATGTTTAATAGTTCACTAGTAGTAGTAGCCAAGACCACACTTTAGATATGGATTATTTTAAAAAGTCCAATGCAGGTGCTTTTATCTCAATATCAAATCATTTCTGGGTAACAATTAAGTACCTTACTGTGATTGTTTTCAATTAATACGGTCAAAAATTAACAAAATTGGCTTCTTAGCAAAGCAAATTCTCAAGCAACAATTTTGGTAGGACTCTCTGGGAGTGGCTTGAGTGGGGAGGGGAAAATTAAAATGAGCTGTTATTGGCCAGAGGTTTGGAACTCTGGTTTATTAACTAATTTACCACATGGTGATGATGTCAACATGGAAGGCCAAACCTCCCTCCCACCAAAACATGCTGAAATTTCAGGCAGTCTTTTCAAACAGCTCTTACACTAAAAGGGTATTATCATAATTTTCACCATAGTCAGGGCAGACATGACCTTACTCAGAGATGACATTACCTGTGATCTGGCCCATGAGGCGGAGAGTTCCATTAGGGTCTCTCTCATCACGGTATTCTCTGATCCAGATGTTGAGCTGGTCTAACTCGTTACCACTGTGGTAGTAGTAGAACTGTAAACACTGGACACTGCACTTCCTGCTGGGAGTCATCTCCCTGCTCTCCAGCCAGGCTGTGTCCCCCTCCTGGCCTGACGCTGTGCTGGCATGCATGAAGGAACCAGTACCTGGGAAAATATGAAAGTTGGTCACAAAACATTTCTGAAAGTCATTATTTAATGTAATATGTCAATGTACAGTATATGCATTACATATCTATAGATTTAATATAGAGCAGTTACAAGGGTGTGGGCTTCTGTATTCTGAAACAGGACGTGCATGTTGTGTTATGACTTAATGGAATAATGCAGTTCATTCTGTTGCATTTTGTATGAAATGTGCCTTTACTATAGTACTAAAGTACCATACCTATAGAAGGATAATTAAAAACACACGATCAACTGTTTGCAAGGATGATCTCTCACTTCCAGTCGGTTGAATTAATAATGAAATGTGCCACTAATCTTACTATCAGAGCCCATGTTGGTGTGGTCGGTGTAGGGACCCCCAGCAGCCTGTGTCACTCTCCCCCAGCCATTTTCCGAGCTATTCTCCACACTCCGAGAGCAGCGACTCATCCCACACACATCTTTATCGGAAAAGCTGCAATATTCCTTAAATGCAACAGATGCATCTACAAGGTGAAAACAAAAATGCAAGTTTAACCATCTGTGGTCAATGTCCATTTAAGCCCTGATTTAACCATCTGTGGTCAATGTCCATTTAAGCCCTGAACAATGTGATGATCATACTGTATGTGCAGAGGTATGACCTTAGAAATTACTCTGAAGTGGTTTGACAAGGGATTTGAGTCCATGTATACTCAGTCAATTAGGTAAATGTTGCAGCAAGATCTGTGTTTTGGAATACCAAAACACAGATCAAACGCGTAATACACTACACTTGAAAATGTCCCATGGTTATTGTTCATACATTTTGCTGTCCCCCACGATGAAATCAGAGAGGGTACTGTGGATCTGTCTCTGTCCATTAGTCACACGCGAAATGACGGCACAGGCCCAATTTTAGCAAAACTTGGGTGAATGATGAGTCTTGCCATAGAGACCCGGCATTTACAAAAATTACACTGATGGCCGGATGGTGGCGCTATAAAAAGCGATTGAAAATGCAAACTTTCAAAGGTCACGCCCCTCAACCCGTTTGGCACATAGGTCCCTCTTCTCACAAGGAACGTATTCGCCTCAGGGACCCATAAGGTCCGCCATTATGGATTTTCCGCCATTTTGAATTTGTGAAAAACACTTAACACTACTTTTTTGGCACTGAATGATCGATCTGCACGAAACTTCATATGGCATCTATGGACAAAGGTCTCAATGCAACATTTTAGACTAGTACCTAAAACATTGTCACAAATGCATATGAAATCAGTCAAGGATATTCGTATTGTAACAAAATTTGGTACACGTTGCAAACACTCAAGACTCAACATATGCAAGAACATTCATAGCGACCTCACGTGGCACTATAAAAATGTGCTTGTTATATCTCTTGATCTGTTTGACTGATTAAATTTGGCACATGCTCAGTGATATAAGTCTAGCTAACCTACACAATATCGCAGACTCCACTGGCACTGATTGGCCCAAGGTGGGCACTGCATCATTTGTGGAGGACGACATGTTTACTGTTGTTTGAGGTTAGGGTTAGAGGTAGGAAATCTAAACACCATACTCTTATTGTATAGTGTTGGTATTATGAACAGACATTCCAACAGTGCTATTGTCACGCCCTGACATAGAGATCTCTAGTTGGTTTGGTCAGGGTGTGAATATCCATGTGTAGATCTATGTTGGCCGGGTGTGGTTCCCAATCAGAGGCAGCTGTCGATCGTTGTCTCTGATTGGGGAACATACTTAGGCAGCCATGTTGCCTACCTATGTTGTGGGATGTTGTTTCTGGTTTGGCTTGTTTATGTGTAGCCCATTAGAACTTCACGTTACGTTGCTTTTGTTGTTTTGTTGTGTGTTTACTTCTTAATTAAACATGTACGCATACCACACTGCACCTTGGTCCAATCCTTTACTCAACGAATGTGACAGCTATCCAACACTTACTGCAACTGTACATTCGGTTTAGCTTCAAGACATCGTTTGAGCTCATTTCCAGCCTTTGGCCAATCACATCCTGGAACTCTGGTTGCTTAGTGATGATAGTGATGAGTCCGGGAACTTTCCCGAAGTCATCTTTGCCGTAGTGCATCAACGAGGTGTAATCATACGGCGTACCCAGAGTGGTGATTTCATTCTCACTGTAGTTCTTAAAGTTCTCTTGTGTTCCTGAATGGAAAAAATATTACATACATTACATTTGTAAAGTTTAAAGTGGCATTTGTATATTCTCAGTGCACAAAATAAAATAATTTAACAAAGAAGGAATCTTAAAATGTATAACCAAATCATGACAAGAGCAATCAAAGTCTAGGAGGAAGGGTAGGCCAGCTGGTAGAGATGTTTTAAGCAATGAAATAGATAAAATATATACATTCACACGATGACTGATAGGGGCAGTGTGTTGAAACCACCGTGCCTCCATCTTGGCCCTCCCTCACATTGTAAAAAATATTTTGGAAGCTATAGAAATGCAATTATTAATGTCTACATTCGTTTTTGCCACATTTATTATATTACAGACACCTTATTGCATACTTTTAAATTATATTGTGACCAAAACATTGAAACAAATAAAAACATTTCTCTTAGTATTTTATTTATTTATTACCAATGTTAGTACCCACTGCAAAAAAAAAAAAGAAGGTATAAGTGTAATTTTGTCCTTGAAACATTTAATTCAAATACTGTACCATTCCATTCATTCCTATAGAGGATTGCTCCTATGGGGAGGGCAAATATGGCCGACCGGTGGCTTCAAAGTCTCTCAATGCCCAATACATAGTCAGCAATCCTGGGTTTATATACACATTGGTTTTTAGGCCTGCTTTAAATGCCCCAACAATTGAAACATTGAATTCAGAGGTGGTGGTAGTGGATTAATTCGAACTGTTTGTTACAAAATGCCCCTCTCTCCTTTAATATGTGTATTAATACTTCCCACACAGCACACATTTTGATCTAAAGCTTGTAGATGAACAATCCCAAAGTAATGTTATAATGTGAGAACTAGAAAAATTATTAAATAATGTTTGTATGATTGGGAAAAACAATGAGTCAAACCTTCTAGGATGTTTTCATAGACAATGGTCACATATTCATCTCTGTCATATCTGGACTGCTCATGATAGAAGCCCAGAGCGTGTAGAAGCTCATGTTCCACAATGGCGACAATACCACAGTACTCTCCAATGTTAACAACCTGTCCATTTGCAAAAGTTCTCCCTACATAGGAGGAGCACCTACCGGGGATAGACATGTTAACACAAAACACATATAATGTAATTAATTGTTGATTTAGAAAAATATCTACCAAATGTTCCACCAGTACATGTCTTACCCTGTATGTTTCTCAATTGTTAGGTAGAACATCTCAGAGTCTCTGGGCTTGAAGTCCATGCATGTTTTCAGCCTGAACTGGTCAAAGGCTCGCAGAATGATGCCTTTAGTATTCATATCTGTGCAAATGGAAAATACAGTGACAACATTAGAAAGATCAGTAATGTGATACAAAATAAATATCATACAGCTGGGAACTGGACTTGAACACGTGACGCTCTGCTTATAGCATAAATGCTATAGTGGTTTGATATTTCTTACAAGATGAAAATCAGGATTCCACGTCTTTACTCACCAAGACTAGAGTGTAAAATATAGGGAACTGGAGACTGCCAGCGTTTGTTTTCCCCCAGAATGCCATTCCTCTGAAAGTTCTGGAACATTACAGTTTGGTTAACCCATATACATTACATACATTTACATTTAAGTCATTTAGCAGACGCTCTTATCCAGAGCGACTTACAGGAGCAATTAGGGTTAAGTGCCTTGCTCAAGGGCACATTTACGTCATTTAGCAGACGCTCTAGTCCAGAGCGACTCACAAATTGATGCATTCACCCTATAGCCAGTGGGATAACCACTTTACAATTTTTTTGGGGGGGGGGGGGGGGGGGGGGGGGGGAGAAGGATTACTTTATCCTATCCCAGGTATTCCTTAAAGAGGTGGGGTGTCAAATGTCTCCGGAAGGTGGTGAGTGACTCCGCTGTGGGGGGTGGGGGGGGTGGGGGGGGTGGGGGGGGGTGGGGGTAGAAGGATTACTTTATCCTATCCCAGGTATTCCTTAAAGAGGTGGGGTTTCAAATGTCTCCGGAAGGTGGTGAGCGACTCCGCTGTGTGTGTGTGGGGGGGGGGGGGTAGAAGGATTGCTTTATCCTATCCCAGGTATTCCTTAAAGAGGTGGGGTTTCAAATGTCTCCGGAAGGTGGTGAGTGACTCCGCTGTCCTGGCGTCGTGAGGGAGCTTGTTCCACCATTGGGGTGCCAGAGCAGCGAACAGTTTTGACTGGGCTGAGCGGGAACTATGCTTCCGCAGAGGAAGGGGAGCCAGCAGGCCAGAGGTGGATGAACGCAATGCCCTCGTTTGGGTGTAGGGACTGATCAGAGCCCGAAGGTACAGAGGTGCCGTTCCCCTCGCTGCTCCAAAGGCAAGCACCATGGTCTTGTAACGGATGCGAGCTTCAACTGGAAGCCAGTGGAGTGTGCGGAGGAGGGGGGTGACGTGAGAGAACTTGGGAAGGTTGAACACCAGACGGGCTGCGGCATTCTGGATGAGTTGTAGGGGTTTAATGGCACATGCAGGGAGGCCAGCCAACAGCGAGTTGCAGTAATCCAGACGGGAAATGACAAGTGCCTGGATTAGGACCTGTGCCGCTTCCTGTGTGAGGCAGGGTTATACCTCAGATAGGGTTAATGTAAAACATATCATTTAAACCATTGCTGTACCCACCTCCATTATGTCACCTTCACGTAAATGTAAGTCTGAAAATAACCGATATGGGTTAATAAGTAATATGTAAATAAAATATTAAGTGACTTTCTATAAATCTGTATTTTCTACAACACAACTGACAAATGTGTATTATTCATGCAATATGTATTGTGTAATTAACACTTTACATATGTTTATGTAAGCTTGACCTTTGTTTATTTTGTCAATGCCCAACTCATCTTCGATGTCTTGAAAAGGAAAAAGAAATCAAGTCAACAATATTAATGGTAAGCAACCATATACATAAACACCTGATACAGCATAAGTATGTTCACATCTAAAAATAAATCAATAAAACTCAGGTCCATATACTGTAGCCAGTTCATTTTATTTTCATTTAGAATATCCAGACCTACCTGTGACCTTGGGAACAGCCTGAGGAGAATGAGAGATAATATATTTTAAGATAAGAAATTATCAAAAACGTAATTCTAAAAATGTCTTATCTTTTGATTTTCTGTTTTGCATAACTTACATGATTATTTTCTCACAATACAAATTATGTTCTATCAAATTAAACATTGTTCTTTTAACATATTGAGCTACAGAGATAAATGAGTGTAAGCCTAATCATGTTTTTAAAGTTTCCTTTACTTACCCCAGCCAAAACTTGTGACACAGCTAAGCTCACAACAAGACAGGCATGGATATACATTCTCTCCAGATACTCTTTCCAGGGTCAAGGTCACTAGCAGTAACAAATCAGATCATAATGGGAAAACACCAAAAAAGAACCCATTAAATGTGTTTCAATTCACATCACCTCTACCAGAGTAAGAGCCTGAGCAAATGAGACTATGATGATTGATTGACAGGTTGTATCCAGTGAAATGTCCCTATACATTCCTTAGCATGATTTTCTCTTATTAAATTCACTTATGCATTGTTAAGGCTGCATAATAGTAAATATACTTAATTTGCCAAGTTAAAAACAAAATCGGTATAACAGACAATTACGCTTTACATGGCGAAAATATAATCTGAAAATACCATAGGAAAAATAAAATGTTCAAATCATTCACACATGAACATTGTAATACCTGTTTGCAGTCTTAAACACCAGTTGAAATCTCCAACAACTGCCCTAAGAAAGTGAACTTATTCAAACCACTTTCATACTGACATTTCCTCAATCCAGAATCTTCTTCATCATCCACCAAATTCTCTCAAAACTGGTTTGATGCATCATTATACAAGTATGCAGCTAGGCTCACGTTCTCGTCATAACATATTTTAGGATTTGCATAAGCATAGCTGCTTTGCCGCAAGCTTTGTTGGGTGACCAAGGCGTAGGAGAGCTACTACAACTCTGCGCAATTTGCGGCCATTTTGCTGATGCAGCCGGCGACTCCACTTCTGTGGGCCGCAAAATTGTTTGGGACAGCTGGGACACTTTTTATGGCTATGAACCCAGCTTGAACCGTCAGGAATTCGCACATTAGTTGATCCAATTCACCGTCTGAGCAGATGAACATGATCTGTGACTGAGAGCTGCCTTTATCCAGGTGGCAGCTCGTCAGTCCAATCAATGCTAGTCAGGTGTTCTGGGCCTGGTTCCAACTCGAGCAGCCAATTGACTCACTCATTCCTACATTCACTCCACAAGACAAAGGCTGCATTTCAAACTCACAAAAGACACACCCTCCTCCACTTACCCTCGCCTTATGCCCTTGAGGGAATCCCCACTGCCATCTTTGCCGTCGGTCCAAACGATTAGCCAACCAAGGAAAGTTGGCAACTAGTTGGCCCTCGTTTGTGATCGGATTTGCGAGTGTACAATTCTGTTCACTCCGGGGCCTGAAACGCCCCATAATTCAATTCGCGATGATTGTACATTCGCTAAGAAAAGTCTGACAAAACTTAAAACCAACATCAATATGGAGAAGTCAACATACAAGTGTAAGTAAAAATGAATGTAAATACTAATAATAATGTTAGAAATTGTGCTACTAATGCACATGACGGCACAAACACGTATCGTGAAAGTAATGATGGTTTTGTTTGGTTAGCTTTTGGAAACATTAGCTGGCGAATACAACTTTCCCTGATATCACACTTATACATTGTCATTTTTGATTTAGCATTTAGCATTCGATGTCTGCGGATGCGTTGTCTTCTAGCCAAGATATTAAATGCAATCATAATTGACTGTAGTTCATATAAAGCACACACAACAGATACTGGTGGTTCCATGCTGACTGAAAACACATTTCCGGGCAAGAGCGGTCCATTTAAAATAAATTCATTCTTCCCTCAACCCTTGCCCTGCAAGTGTCAACTCATCATACGTCATCATAAGTGTCCATTTAATTTGAGGGGAGAGGGTGTGTCTTTTACGTGTTTGGAATGCAGCCAAACACAAGAGGGAAAGGAGAAACTAAGGGCTCTATTCAATTTGCATCGCAGAAGTTCAGCTTTACAGGATGATTTACATTTAAAGGCAATGTTCCCGCTTTAGTGGAGACTATATTCTCGGTAAACGCTGCATACAGTATGTCAGCTCAATTTGAAATTACCTTTACATTTCTGTTGCAGAATCTGTAACGCTTCATCTTTCCAGATTGAATAGAGCCCTAAACTACAGGAGGTTGATGGCATCTTAATTGGGGAGACCGGGTTCGTGTTAATAACTGGAGTGGAATAAGTGGAATGGTATCAAATACATCAAACACGTGGTTTCCAGGTGTTTGATGCCATTCCATTAGCTCCATTCCTGCCATTATTAGGGGTCGTTCTCCCCTCAGCAGCCTCCTGTGCCCTAAACAAACTAAGCCATGGCACACGTGACACGACCATATATCCAAAACAAATTTCAAAAGCATGAAAAACTTGTCAAAGACGGGTCAAGTCATATAATTTATGTGTTATACTTTGTCAATAGTGTACAATGTACATTCTATGTTAACTTCATTTTTAAAGCATTCAATGTTCCAACATCTAGTGGAAAGCCTTCCCAGAAGGGTGGAGGCTGTTATAGCAGCAAAGGGGGGACCAACTCCATATTAATGCCCATGATTATGGAATGAGATGTTCGACAAGCAGGTGTCCACATACTTGTGGCCATGTAGTGTAGCATATTATCCTGGGCCACTGATTGGATTGGATTTACTGTACTCACTCCAACTCATGCGCTCTCCACCTTCTAAAAGTCTTAGACACGTTAGTTTTTTAAAATAAAAGTCTATCCCCCTATTCCAAGGTGAGTCTGCTGGGTCATGGAACTCTAGAGCAGCTATCAGCAGACAGTACCCTGAGGAAGGATGCAACTATCAAGTCTTTAAATGGTCAGATTTGGGGGAACAACCCAATGCAATAAAGTTTTGTATAAACTACTCATGTTAATTTTTTAATGGGTTACAAAACAATAACTTTTTCTTAGGCTGTTCTTCTCATTTTACTAACTACTATGGTAACTTAAACATCTGACAATACTTAGAGTTTATGATTCAAAAAGGTCTAAAATCAATGCAAGTCTAATATCCAGGGAGAAATACATTTCTATTCATATATATAAGACACACAGGTGTGCCAACTAAAATAGATATCCTAGACGACTGAAGAATCTGACAAATAGGCAGTGTTTTGACAGGCAGCCCAGGTCTGATCTTTTTTTTACTAATTGGTCTTTTGACCAATCAGATCAGCTCTGAAAAAGATCTGATGTGAAAAGATTGTGATTGGTCAAAATACCAATTATTGGAAAAAATATCAGAATTGGGCTGCCTGTCTAAACGCAGCCAGAGACAAGTATTCAGACCCCTTGACCTTTTCTACATTTTGTTATGTTACAGCCTTATTCTAAAATGGATGTAAAAAATTGTTTTATAATCAATCTACACACAATACCGCATAATGACAAAGCGAAAACAGGTTTTTAGACATTTTTGCAAATGTATAAAAAATTTAAAACAGAAATACCTTATTTACATAAGTATTCAGACCTTTGCTATGAGACTCAATTGAGCTCAGGTGCATCCTGTTTCCATTGATCATCCTTGATGTTTCTACAATGATTGGAGTACACCTGTTGAAATTCAATTGATTGGACATGATTTGGAAAGGCACAAACCTGTCTATATAAGGTCCCACAGTTGACAGTGCATGTCAGAGCAAAAACCAAGCCATGAGGTCGAAGGAATTGTCTGTAGAGCTCCAAAACAGGATTGTGTTGAGGCACAGATCTGGGGAAGGTAGAGTGGCCAGGCGGAAGCCACTCCTCATTAAAAGGCACATGACAGCCCGCTTGGAGTTTGCCAAAAGGCCCCAAAAGACTCTCAGACCATGAGAAACAAGATTCTCTGGTCTGATGAAACCAAGATTGAACTCTTTGGCCTGAATGCGAAGCGTCACGTCTGGAGGAAACCTGGCACCATCCCTACGGTTAAGCATGGTTGTGGCAGCATCATGCTGTGTGGATGTTTTTCAGCGGCAAGGACTGGGAGACTAGTCAGGATCGAGGGAAAGATGAACGGAGCAAAGTACAGAGAGATCCTTGATGAAAACCTGCTACAGAGCGCTTAGGACCTCAGATTGTGGCGAAGGTTCACCTTCCAACAGGACAACAACCCTAAGCACACAGCCAAGACAACACAGGAGTGGCTTTGGGACAAGTCTCAATGTCCTTGAGTGGCCCAGCCAGAGCCCAGACTTGAACCCGATCGAACATCTCTGGAGAGACCTGAAAATAGCAGTGCAGCAACGCTCCCCATCCAACCTGACAGAGTTTGAGAGGATCTGCAGAGAAGAATGGTAGAAATTCCCCAAATACAGGTTTGCCAAGCTTGTAGCGTCATACCCAAGAAGACTCGAGGCTGTAATTGCTGCCAAAGGTGCTTCAACAAAGTACTGAGTAAAGGTTCTGAATACTTATGAAAATGTGATATTTCAGTTTTTATTTTTATTTTTAATTCTAAAGACCTGTTTTTGCTTTGTCATTATGGGGTATTTTGTGTAGATTGAGGGGGGAAAAAACATTTTAATCCACTTTATAATAATACTGTAACGTAACAATGTGGAAAATGTCAAGGGGTCTGAATACTTTACGAGTCCACTGTAAGTCAGTTCTTGTGTTCGTAGCAGTGTGTATGAATTTGCGTGGTTACACACAGTACATGTTAATTGGCTATGAGACCGAGATAAGGAGAGTCTTGCTGTAATCAAAGGGA